CTGCTGTGGAGAGTGTTTATGGTGACACACAAACACCATGGCATCCTTAGTTGCTCAATGGTGAGATCTGGCTGGTGAGTATGTGGGGAACTCAGTTGGAGACGTGTTACTGTGTGGGTGGGAAACACTCACATTCTCCTGGCTCCATGTGGTGAGTATGGCTTCCAGTCTGGATAATGCTACCCTTGGCCATGACCTAAAATAGAAAGTGTTTTCCAAGCTTACATCTATATTTTACAAAGCTTTCTTCTAATTGACAAATCTATTGTTTGAGACCCAGACAGAAATACCCAGCCTAGAACCCAACATGTCAGAAGGAGAGACATGGTCAAGAGATGAATGACTCTTTGTAGTTCTCAACATGGAGGTAGAACTCACCAGGTAATAGAAGATAAGCTCTCCCATCACTCTTAAGAGCGGCCCCTGCAGAATAAAATGTGCCTGAACCATGTGATTCTGATTGCAGAGCAAGACACCAGCCTCTGTCTCCAGGTGGACGTAGCTCCTGCTGAAGGAGTACACACTGTGAGCCATATGATGTATCTCTGCATGCTCTTCTGCTGTACAAGGATGATGGATGCATGAATTTTCCTCCTTGTGGTATACCTGGAGAAACAACAAATTTTGTCATTAATCATTTTAAAAATTAGATGTATAAAATTATTTATATAACATGCATATGCTTCAATAAGTTTGAATCCAGTTACTGGAAAATTGGGGGATTTGGAATAAGTTTTATTGTTTTGTTTTTCATATTTCTATTTTGATGTTGAAATTTTCACATTTGTGAGGATGAATATTGGACATCTACTATTAAAAGCAAATTTTCTTAATGAATAGCCTTCTTTGAAAGGCTTGATCTCCAATAATCCTCAGGATCATGGAGGAAATTTCAAAAAGTTCATCAACACCAAAGTAAAGTAGATGTATGAATATCATTCAAAACAACTAAAAATACCTGTGGTGATATTTTACTTGCATGTTAATGAATAAAGTTTGCCTGGAGATCAGAGGAAATAGAGAGCCATTTTAAGTAAACACAAAAGTCAGGCAGTGGTAGCACATGCCATTAATCCTATTACTTATCAGGCAGGGTCTCTGTGTGTTCAAGGACACACTAGGGAACAGAGCCAAGCATGGTGACACATGCCTTTAATCCCAGTACCAACCATAGAGAGCTGGAGGTCTGTACAGATAGGCAGTGACAAGGAAGTAAGGACAAGGGTAGGCAGGAGGTGGCTCACATTTGGAAGCTGCAGTATGGTCAGGAAACAATATCTGGTGCCTAATCTTATTTCCCTGACCTCTCAGGCTTTCACCCCATATTGGCTCCATGTTTTTTATTTAATAAGACCGCTTAGAAATTTGTCTACAAATACCTACTATAACCCAATTCCAATGAACAGAAAGGGAAAATACACTGAAGTCAAACACTTAGGTTAAAAAATAGAGAGAGTAGCCTCTTGGCACTTCCAGGTCTGGTGGTCTCACTGAGCACAGTCACAGGTCCACCCCAGGCATCTAGACTTGGGGCAGGAAGAAATCAACCATGAGCCCGCTGGGCACCACCATTATGGTGAGTGAATACAAGGTGGGGAAATGGGAGAGAGAGAGAGAGAGAGAGAGAGAGAGAGAGAGAGAGAGAGAGAGAGAGAATGAATGAATGAGTCATGTGCTAGGGAGAGAGGCAGATCTGAAGAGGGCAGTGAGGAACAGGCTGATGTAGATGGCCTGCTTGCCACAGAGGGCCTTGATGTTGTTCCTGCCTGGGCTGCTGCCAAGGGCCATGAACTTGGTCCATGGTCCTGATGTAGCTTTGTGGGTCTGTATTGATGTCTGGACCTGGACTGCTGCTAAGAGTCATGTCTGGACCTGTGGCCCTGCTGCAGTCACAGTCTGAGTTCACATCCATGGCTCCTGTTATCATTGATAGCAGTGAGGATAGGCTTGAACATAATTGGTCCAGGCCTCCTTGGCTACAGGACTGGGAGAACTGGCCCTGGCCCTCACTGACTGCAGCACTCAGGAGAGTGGGCCTTGTACCTCCCCAGGGCATACAGTAGAGCTCTCCCTGCTGGTGGGGGTGTGGGAGATCTGGCCCTGAAGATGTCAGAGTGGGAGAGCTAGCCTCAAGGTCAATCATGTGATGGCATGGGGAAGGGAGATATTCCCACCTGCCCCTCATCACTCACCTCCCACCACCCACTGCAGGCAAGAAAAGCTGGTCCTGGGGTCATGAGAGTGGGAGAGCTGATCCTGCCCCTCAGCAGCCACGGCATTTGGGTGAGTGGTCCCTGTACTTAGCCCTGGCAGCACAAGAGAGCTGACCCTGTTGGTGGTGGTGCAGGTGAGCTGGTCTGGAGG